CAAACTAATTCTAAGCTTTTGGGTTGCTGAAGGTAATTACATCTGTATCTTTCAACACACATAGAATAAATTGCAATTGAATTCAAGAATAGCCTAATACATATGCAACTCAAACATGGAAAGCCGAAAATAAAAGTTCGCTTCAAGCAAGATCTCCATAGCACAACAAACAGCAGAGTTATTATTGCAAATTCAGATTACATACCAAAACATTTACAACTAATGACCAAGTTTTATCCCAACTGTAGCTGATTCAATAGCCTGTCCAGAAATAAGAAGTCACTAGCGTCAGTTTCAAGTACAAATCTAGAGTGTAAATGTCTCGACAAAATATTTAAGGTCAATCCACAATGTAGAAAACCAGATGAAGAACACCTCAGGATAACACTCGAGATTACCCCCTGGAACAAGATTCTGCGACTGGAGAAGTCAATCTCGTGAAGGTAATGCATGCATTAGTTACTGTGAGTTCTTGATATCTTGAATGATCACACGAGCAGCATTACGTCCGGAGCACGTTACCCCTCCACTTGGCTGGGCTCCACTCCCGCACAGATATTGTTGGAGTTAGTGGACAACAGAAACCAATTCAATCCTCAAACGTATCCATATCTCAATTTACCAAATAGAAAGTTGAAAAGAAAAGCAGAGACCGAGAAACAGAGAGAAAAGAAAGAAAGAGGGAAGAATATAAATGGATTAAAAAAAAAAAAATGAAGAAGAAGAAGAAGAAGGAAGAGGAAAAGAGAAAGGAAGAAGAAGGTGCCGGTTTTGGGTGCTTACTTGACCTTCAGGTAAGCAAGTAAATTGTTAAGGAAAACATATGATAAATTTGCTAGAGTTTACATTGATGGTTTAGGTGTTCAGATTGGGAAAAATGGAGTGCAATTTCTAGCTCATGATTCTGATCAATGAGGTTTAAACAGGAACGCCTTCGCCATTCAAGAACCTGGGTTCCTATATTCATTAATGGAGGAACTACCATAGAAAGTAAATATTCAACTGGAACTACTTTTAGTATTGGTTCTAAATTGAGCTACCGCATCCCTTTTATTGCAGTTCAAGAAGCAACAAACAACTTTGATGAGAGTTGCGTAATACAAGTTAGCGGCTACAGATAGGAAATAAAAAATTTATAAAAATTGTGGGGGTCACTTGACCCCATGTGCGTCCATCAGCTTTGACATCGACTTATTTATTTAAGTAAACTTGTGTTTTGCTTTATATTAGCCATATATTACAATGGTAATGTATCTTGTTATCAACAAGTATAAACTAAATCTATTCAAAACATTATTTAGTTTAGGGCTATGTTTATGGAAATTTTAAGAAAGATTTATGTTTTTAACTATATTAATTGTATTTTCTTAATCGTTGTAAAAATAGAAACAAGTCTGTCTTTATGGAATGAATGTAGTATTATTATATAATCATGAACAGAGCTTGCATGATTCCGAACACGTAAACTTCGTTAATAATAAATATTCATATCTATCAATACCAAATATATCTAATGTTTTGCAATTTGTCTTGCAAAATAAATCTTAATAATTATATTTGATTTTCAGTTTTCCAACTTATCATAATATATTATTATTGAGTATGTTGTAGGCACCATTCATTTTATTTGGAATTTTAAATTGATTCTGGCTAATTCATTTTTACTACATACGATCAATCGATCACGAATGATTTAAGATTTGATCATACGTAATTGTTTTTCACTATCACAACTTTTTAATTAACAAATTGTTAGGACTTGATCCTACGGACTCTATTAATATAATTTATTAGAAAAAAATTGCAATTAAACAATAAATCATGCCACAGATAAAATCCATTAATGCTCTTAAAAATATTTACTATCTAAATCGTTTGGAATTAGGACATAACATTTACAAACTCCTACTTGCACTAGATCTAATCACTTACGTAACTAATACTATAAGAGTATACATGACGATCAAGTTTATAATGTGGCAACGGCTTTATGAATGGATTTGTAATGTTATTGTTTGTGAATAATGCTCTATTTTCACGTTATTTTTTTTATGTAATCTCATTGATGAGATGATACCTTCTTAACACATGTTTGTATCGTTAATGAGGCTTTGGTTTCTTCGCTTACGTGATGGGTCCATTGTTATCAAAATACAGAGGTATAAGATCAGCAATACTAGGAACATTTCCAAATTTACTAATGAACTTCTTGATCTAGAAAGCTTCCTTTGCTATTTCAAAAGTAGCAATATACTCAATTTCTATTGTTGAATCAACGCTTGTTTCCTGTTTGGAACATTTTCAACTAATTTCTACGTTGTTGAGAATAAACACATATCCATATTGAAATTTGCTATCATCTTTGTCAAATTGAAAGCTAGCATCGATATATCCATGAACTCTTAGTTCATCTCCCCATATATTAAGAAATCATTGTTAGTTCTTCTTAAGTATTTAATAATGTTCTTAATTGCTACCCAATATTTCTCACAAGGTTTGCTTGAAACCTGCTCGTAACACTTAGTGCATATGAAACATTTGATCTTGCACATCTTTCCCTTGCAATTCCTCTTATCATGTGTTTCGGGACACATATTCTTTGAGAGGCAAATCCCGTATAACATGGGATACAATCTTCTCTTGAATTCTTTCATGTTAAATCTTCTTAAAATCTTATCTATGTATGAAGATTGGCAGAAGCCAACAATCTTCTAAATCTATCTCTATAGATCATGATTTATAAGATATAAGTTACTTTTCCCATATCTTTTATAAAGAAATTATTTGACAACTACAATTTTACCTGTTGAATTGTTCGGAAATCATTTTTAATTAATAATATTCCATCTACATATAATATTATGAATACAATAGCACTCTCACTTATCTTTTTGTAAATACAAGGTTCATCTTCATTTTTGATAAAATCAAAATTTTTGATTGTTTCATCAAAGCGAAGATTCTAGCCCTTAGAGACTTGCTTCAATCTATAAATGGATTGATCATGCTTGCATAACTTGTTGGTATCTTTGGATTCAAAACCTCTGAGTTTTGTTATATACACTTTCTCTTGCAAGTTCTCTTTTAAGGAAAGTAATTTTGACATCCATTTGTCATATTTCATAGTCATGATATGCAGTTATTGCAAGGAATTTGAATGGACTTTATCATGGTTACAGGTGAAAATGTTTCATCAAAGTCAATTCCTCATCTTTGTTTATAATCTTTTGCTATTAGCTTTGCTTTGTATGTGTAAATATTTACATCCATGTCGACATTTTTTCTTTTAAACATTTACAACCTATGTGTTTTATCCAATTAGGCATGTCGACCAAGGTCCAACACTTGTTTACATACATTGAGTTCATCTTGGATTACATGACCTCTGCCATCTCTTTGAGTCAACACTTGGTTTTACTTCTGTGTAATTAGTAGGTTCATCATCCTCAGTTAGTAATACTTGATTAGTAATAATGAATTTGTACCTTCTAAGAGGTCGAATGATCATACTAAATTACACTGAGCCGGAATGTCATCAGGAGTATTTATGTTCCGATCAAGAGTTTGTCTCTCAGCTGGTGTGTGATCAGTCTCAAGTTCTTCTAATTTGTCAACTGTATCTATGGAGTCTTAAACTTTTTCAAGTCCTAATTTACTCATATTGTCCTATCCTAGAATGAACCCTCTCTAGGAATATGATATGACTTGAGATGAACACTTTCTTCTCAATGATATTACATAATTGATATCTAATTGTCTATTTTGAATATCCTACAATATACATTTTTCGAAATTAGCCTCAAGTTTATTTGATTTAGTGTTCTTCACATAAGCATCACAGTTTTAAACTTTAATATATAACAAGTTAGGTCTTCTGCTTTTGCATAACCTACATGGGGTTTTGTTGATTGACTTAGATGGGGCACGATTTAGTGTATAGTATAAGGCAATCAGTGCATGCTTCAAAACGATGTTAGGAGGTTTGTATGGCTTAATATTGATCACACCATATCTAATGGTGTACAATTTCTCTATTCCAATACACCATTATGTTGTCGTGTATGTGATAGACTCCATTGTGAGAGAATCTTTTAGATAATCTAAAAATTCTTCTTTCAGATATTCTCCACATAGATCAAATCTTAGTGCAAGAATACTTACCTATTTGTTTCTTTACTTTTAGCTTGAGTTTCTTAAACTTTTCAAGCGCTTCATGCTTGGCTTCATTAAGTATACATGATTATATCTAGAGCAATCACCAGTCAATGTAGTGAAGTAAGAGAAACTACATATAGCAATCATTGACATGGGGTCTACATACATCAGTATGTGTTAGTCTCAATAATTGTGCAACTTTTTCTCTTTTTTACCCTAAAAGGGAATTTAGTCATCTTGTATAGCAAATATGATTTACATTTGTCAAATGATTTAAAAATCGGTTGACCTCAATAGCAGTCTCTATGTGATTTGGCAATACATTTTTCAGATAAATGACCTAATTTGCATGCCAAAGAAAGGTATTATTTACATTATCATTTTGATGCCTTTTATTTTCTATGCTCATAATAGATGACTTAGTACCAAGAATGTAAATACTATTTTGTAATGTACTACAACCATAAAAATCTCATCTTGATAAAAGGATTAAGTGATCAACAATTGTCTTTAACATTAATTGAAAAATCACTCATGTCCAAACATGAAATATAAATAATGTTTTTGGTAATTTGGTTTTTGGTAATGCAGGAAAAAAAATAACAATTCACTAATTCTAATACTAAGCTCGAAGGCAATGGTAAGAAGTATATTTTTTCAAATAATGCTACTACTTTTACTCCATTCTCCACGCGTAGGTCAATTTCTCGTTTCTGCAATGGTCTACTTGTCTTTAGTCATTGCATATTTATATAAATATAAGATCCACATCCAGTATCTAATACCCAAGAAGCTAAAGAAAAAATATATTAACCTCAATTACAACTATACCTAAAGTGGAAGCTTCAGATGACTTTTTTCCCTTCAAGCTGGAGAGGTAAGCCTTTAATTTCCTCTTCAATTGACTTTTCATTCCACAATGGTAGAGCAGACATCAGACTTGTTATTGTCCTTGTTTGCTTTGATGGTCTTGTTATTGCACTTAACCTTGTTGAATGTTTTCTTAGAACTTCATTTGGTATTTCTATTAGTTCCCTTGGACGAATGAATGGCTAAATCATGCCCACTACTACCTTTGATGTTGGGCTCAACAGTTTTAAGCATGTTCAACAACTCAAGGAGTGCACACTCGAACTTATTCATGTTTAAATTCATGATAAATTGTGAATAGCTCTTTGGTAGAGATTGTAGAACCAAGTTAACACTTGGTTTTTGGTCCATCATTGAACGCAATCGAGCTAACTTCTCAATAAAGCCAATCATCTTTAGTATATAAACATTGATTGAAGATTCTTTTGCCATTTTGCATTGTTGTAGCTTCTTGAAAATCTTATATCTTTTCACACATGAGTGTTCGTCATACAATTCCTTGAGATGAAAAATCATAGTGTAAGCATCCATACACTTATGATACTTTAGCAACTCAGGTGACATTGTTGCAAGCATCACACATATTGTAGTATTATCATTATCACTGCGTTTGTTATAAGTAGCCACATTTTCTTTAGTTAAGTCCTCAGTGGTTGTCTCTGGAGAAAGGCTGCTCAAGGATATAATCAATTTTTTCATGCTTGCGAACAATTCTCAAATTGCGGTGCCGATCAAGAAAATGTTGCCCCATCAATTTCTTGATATCCAGTATGCCTCTCAAATTCATCTAATTACTCATGATTCAAAAACTGTATATGACGAAAAGTAAATTATTAATATGTATCAAAATTTATTCCATAATTTAATACGGACTTTAATTAAATTAAATATGCTTCCACTATTTAAAATAAATTTATAATCCTCACAAATAAATTAATGAATTCCATACTTGATTCTATCCTGTTTGTTATATTCCCAACAAGACTTAATAAAATATTTGGATAGATACTATTATCAATTGTATCTTCATACAACTCTCAAATCATTAAGTCAACAGCTCTTTGACTTCACTTATCTTATGTGCTAGCTTATCATGCCTCTAGAATTTCTCTTTGAGTATACTTAATAAAAAATAAACTTTAGTTAATTGAACCCATCATTCAGAATTATCTAATCATTCATAGTGTCAAATATATCCCTAATAGTGTGGACGAGTATGGACTAATTATATCTAGCCACTCCGTGCCGAAGGGAAGAATAGTTGGTAGTTCCTAAGGGGTATTACATTGACTTAGTATCAATACACCATCTCCATGGTCTTCTCTTCGTATTGCATCTCCAGCTGATACAAGCAGCATCAATGCACTATCTCCATGGTCTTCTCATCTTATTGTATCTCCAGCTGCAATTTGTATCCAATACTAATTGGCACGAGGGTTTAAAAGAATTGGACACATAGACCTATAACAATAATAATAGATTCGAAAAGACTAGCTCGCAAGCCCATAAAACAATAAGAATAAAAGTAATCATTCAATGCATTGATATGGTCAAGTCCATAATCATTGACTAAGTATATAATCATCACAAAAAATAAATTTCGATATAGCATCTATTATTTTATATAAACAGATTTCAAGTTTCTAGTAATTATGGTCGCCTAAACTAATTTAGATAAATGGGTCAAAACAACTAAGAATTAATTAATCAAATTAGTCAATTAATTTAATTGTCGGGTTTAAATAAATAAAATCAAAATTTAATTAAATATCAAATTAGAGCCCAAATATAATTCCACGATTTTAGGACGTGTTTATTTAATTAAAATCACATTTCAATTAAATATTAAATTAGAGTCCAACTCTAATTCTATTTGAATTAAGATTTTAATTTAGGAAAAAACTCCTAAATAAAATAAAATTCAATTTAGGGTCGAAGTTTAATATTAAGTTAAAATAAAATTTTAACAATAATATAAACAGTCGTCAAATATAAACGGGTCAAAATTGAAATTTAGGTAAAACCATTTTGAAAATCAAATTAAAAACCTTTTACAAAATTTATATTCAAAAATCTTTTGAAAATTGCAATATGAGCCTTGGTTTAAAATTATAAAATGTCGCCGCTCATCATTGTTGGGTCCGACAGCTTGCTTGCCATGCCACTACTAATCTTCATCCCGATTTGAATTTCGACAAAAAAAATTAATTTTCTTTTTTAAAACAAGTTTTATTACATAAAAACAATTTTTCCTAAGTGCTAGAAACAAGAGAACAACTACTTTTAATTGTTCCAAGATACAAAACAATTTCTAATAAGTACAAAGCAGGCTCTGATTCCACTATTAAGAATTTACTTAATCATACAAAACTAAATTTATAGTAATTTCAATTCCCATCAAAGATCTGTTTTATATTTAAATAGAAACTGTGATGAGAATTATACATTTAGTTAGTTCTGCAAAGAACAATTACGATATGCAATTCACATCTATCAAATTGTTTAGCTTCCCATGATAAACCACACAAGGGAACAAGCATGAGAGAATATGGTTTCTCTTTTCTTGTGCTAGCAATAAGATTGCGTGTTATGTTTTCTCAACCTTAACAATTTATTATTAGAAGTCCAAGTGGACTTGGCCCATCACTTAAACTTAACCCGATTCAATATTTAATTAATTTGATTAATTAAATTTTGTCTATAAACTAATTAATCTAATTAATTAATTTGATCCATTAATAAATAACCTAATGAATTGATTTTAAAATTATCATATACTTGTCCATTAATTATAGTAACATCATTCTTCTAATTTTCCTTATTGCCTGTCACCCATTAGATTCTCGATCACGATGTTTAATGATGTGAATTAACATTTTGATATAATCAAAAATTGATAAATTAAATTTTCTTTTAATTCATCATTAATTCACATTTATCGTCCTAAATTAATATCTAGCATGGGTCAAGACAATACATGTGATGAAAAATGTCACGTGGCGGGACAAAATCAAACTTGTTCGTTTACTTTGAAACTATAATTCCTTTGTCAATATGATCCAATCAATTATGAGATATGAAAGTGTGTCAATCTCGATATCGATCATATTTTTCATCCCACTCTTAAGTCAACATAAATAGAAATCTCATTTTGATTTACGAGTATACCTTGGTCAATGATTTTGTTATTAATTTAACTAAATGAAATATAGATCAAAATATCTTACTATCTAAGACTAACGAATCCTTTATTGAGCGTTCACCTTGACATACCCAAATGATACCGTATTATAGACTCTTGGCATAACAACATCCAACATCACTAAAGCATGACTGTCCCATATAAGACGCAATGATTATATCAAGTTAAATGACCAATTCCACTACCAAACATTAGAAATTAACTACTGACACTCAGTTTTCTATGTGGAATCTCTCCAACGGGTCTCCTATATTTTGCTCTTCTAACAAAATAAGAACATATTCATTTGAATGTCACCACATTTTAGCTTGTGAGACTAACCACTCAATTTACAAGTAGAAATACCACACATTGTGGTTCATCCATAATAACGATTTTCATATCTTGTTATTATATACAACCATGGATGATTTTAAGATTCATCATATGTAATATGTTTCTTACTATCACAACTCGTAGTGATTAACAAGTTACTAAATGTGAATTTACGGACTCTATTAATATAATTTGTTAGAAAAATAATTAATTACATAATAAATCTTGCCATAAGTAAAAAAGCATTAATAACATTAAAATGTTTACAATATAAATCGATTGGACATAGGGTATAACACTTACAGATTTAATGCCTATATGCTCCTCCTATTTAAACTTTTAATATCAATAAACATTGTTGGGATAGTCCTACCCCAATCCTTCCACTGGGTTTGGATAGAGACGTTAAATCTCGTCTACACTTCAATGTTGTTTCGCTTACAAAATGTTTTTAGTTATATAATTTTTTTAAATAGATAATATATTTGAGTATAATGTTTCCTTTCATTTCAATACAAGAGGATGTCTTTTATTTTATCAATGAATTCAACCCGTCGATCTTTAGACATGCAAAGACGTTTAGAGAATTTTCATCTTTGGGATGGCTTTGAATGTGATCTTTGTTATAAATAATTCTTGTTTTAGGTCGATCAAAGATTTAGCAACCAATACACTTTCAGCAACAATTATTGTTTGGTAATGATTTTGGCTTGTTAAGATGGGACCAATTTTTAATGCCATATCAGCGACCAAACACTATTTGGTCGCTAACGAATAGGGCAGAAAGAGAACCTATGCTATTTTTGTGTGAAACATAATTTTAGCGACTAATAACCAATTCTTGTTTAGTAGCTGAAGCCCCTGGTCGGAATAAATACAATTTTCCTGCATTTAATTGGATGAATAGCAACCAATCATTTGGTCACAAAAGGTTAATTTTAGCAACCAACGATGATTTAGTTGCAGAAGAATTTACATATAATTATTTTTCATGTGATAAGATTTTAGCAACAGACAAATTCTTGGTCGTTGAAGGATTTCAAATTGAATTTTTTTGGATGGTGATATTTTTGAAGAATTTATTAGCAACCAATCTTTTGGTTGCAAATGTATGTTTTAGAAACCAATAATGACTTGGTCGGTGAAGGATTTCACATAATTTTTTTAGTTTGTGATATTTGTTTGAAAATTTTACTAGCGACCAATTATTGGTCGTTGTAGCTATGTTTTAGAAACCAACAATGACTTGCTTGTTGAAAAATTTCATATAGAATTTTTTTGGTTGTTGATTTTTTTTTTGTTTTTTTAGAATTAACTAGCGACTAATCACTGGTCATTATAGGTTCATTTTTGCAACCAACAATGACTTAGTCGCTGAAGCATTTCACACAGAAAGTTTTTTGATTGTAATATTATTTGAAGAATTAACTAGCAACAATTTATGGTCGCAAAAGGTAAATTTAAGCAACCAACGGTGATTTTGTTGCTGAAGAATTTCAAATTGCATTTTTTTGGAAGGCGATATGTTTAGAAAAATTAAGTAGCGAACAATTACTAGTTTTATAGGTAAGTTTTAGCAACCAACAATCAATTGGTCGCTGAAGAATTTTACATAGAAATTTTTTGGATTGTGATATTTTTTGAAGAATTAACTAGCAACCAATCTTTTGGTCACAAAAGTTCAAATTTAGCAACGAACGATGATTTGGTTGCTGAAGAATTTAACATAGATTTTATTTTTTGTCATGTGATGTATATTTAGAAGAATTAACTAGCAATCAATCAATAGTCGCGGAACGTAAGCTTTTAGCAACAGACAAATTCTTGGTCGCTGAAGGAATTCTCGTAGATTTTTGCATATTGAAATTTTTTTTTAAGAATTAACTCGAAACCAATCTTTTGCTCATTGAAGAATAAGTTTGGCAAACAACAACGATTTTGTTGCTAAAGAATTTCAAATAGAATTTTGTCTTGTGATATATTTTTGAAGAATCATCTAGCGACCAAGCATTAGTCACGACAAGTTTATGGTTGTTGAAGGATATTGCATAGAAAGTTTTTGGATGGTGAAATTTTTTGAAGAATTAACTAGCAACCAATCTTTCGTTCAAAAGGTTAGTTATAGCAACCAACGATGATTTGGTCCCCGAAGGTAAGATAGTGATTTTTTTAAGCTAGAATG